TGCAGAAGTGTGTGCTCCCCGCTTTACATCGGAGATGCTATGAACGAAGCTATACAATCCACTCGACGCCTGTTACTCGATTTAGCATCCGCTCGTGTCCTTTATCCGTGTTCCGAAATCGATGGTAATTTCATTCTGAAACCGCACGACACGAGACGCGAGGCGAGTCGAGTCGCGAGATTCCGAGGTGCCTGTACGGCCTGTACTTTCAACGCTCAACGCGACTCGCGACGTACATAAAACGCGACAACAATTGAAGATATCAATCTCACCGATCCGCTGATCCCGGCTTCTCGCCGCTGCTTCTCGTCCTTCTCGAAAGCCTCTCACAAAAATCGCGCTGGAACTTCTCACCACGCGTTTATCTACGCCGAAAGGACGAACCGGAAGAGATGATTGGAGATGATCGAACAAACGCTGCTCGATACAGTCGATACCGCGATACCGGATACCGGATCGATGGTATGCCCACTCAGGGGTGCGCAAATCTTCTGCGCGTTATCGCGACCGCCGACCAATTAGGGGCGAGTTCCGCGGATTCGCGAGCTCGCCACGGTCGGCGGTCCCCGTCACGCAGTATCGTATACAGTCGGTCCTGCGGGGGTGCTTCGCGACCCCGCGCCTTCGCAATGACATTTCGAAATTTCTGCCGAGCGCTCCGGACAGCCGGGCCTCACTTCTACCGACAGGAGCTCTACCGGTGAACCTCTGGGATGATGACCTCGCCATCCCGGGTCCGGTCGGTGCCATGGAGATCGGTCGGGACATCTCCATTTTCCTTGGCCGTGGCGAGGGCCCTGCGACAGTCTTCTCCGTCACCTGCCGATCACGCGCTATATGCGCGTTCCTTCGCGCTCCCCTTCCACTTATGGCTCCTGCACACAGGACGCGGCAGCGCGGCATTGCGGCAACGCGGCACCGCGGTAACCAATTACCGTCTTGCCTTTCCGTTCTACTTTTGAGAGTAGTACGGAAAGGCAGATGGTGATTGGTTACCGCGTTGCCGCAATGCCGCGCTGCCGCGTCCTGTGTGCAGGAGCCA